CCTTCACAGCAGCAACATAAAGAAGCTCTTTGAACACGCTTGTTTAAAAAGATTATGAGACTCTTTTGGTGCCAAATTGTTAAAGCGTGGTAAAGTAAATCTAATCATAGCACTTCAGCGCACTATGTATTTTGGAAAATTTACACCTTCATAGACAGCCTTAAAAAGGTGCTTCAATTGAGAAGTTTTGTGAAAGATTGGAGAATTGAAAAAAGCCCAACCGACAGCTTAAGTTTCTATAATGCAAAACCCTGAAAATTGCTGTAGCTTCCTCATGGGGTAATCGTGCCAGTTATCATTTCCATTCGCGACAATAAGCCGCACTGTAAGAACACAATAGGTATACGTTACATGAGTCAAAATCATGGGTTTGTCTGAAAAGTGTCTGGTGGTTTACTGACATGTGACTATGAAAATCCACATAACCTGTAAACCTTCATTGCAGAAATAGGTGTACGATGAAAAGGTGAAAATCGCTCGTAACTGCGATGATTAACCCAGTAAATCACTTCTTAAGCATATCCGTGATCATGACCCTCCGTGTCCTGTACGTTCCGTAAACCTATAGTAAAGTTCTGTCGTGAAGATGGAAATGATTTTCGTAAGCATCATCAATCTCCAAAGTTTTTAGCGGTGTAGTGAACTCCAAGTTTCCCGCAATCATTTAAGTTGTCGGTTGAGCTTTTTCAATTTCTTTAACAAAATTGAGAATTTAGGAAATTTGTATTCATGTTACCTCAAATGCTTCGTTCGTAAATCACATACAGTCCATTTAATGAAGAGCGGTCTAATAGTTGTTTGATAATAAAAAAAACAAAACTTCTGTTTCTTTCACTGAAAATGCCTATCAATAAATTTTGCGGTAAGAACCGTGGTATATAACTCTTCAGAAAACTCTAAGAGCATGAATGTTACATCTACGGTGCTTCTAGGACAAACCTTATGCGATATGAAAGTGCAAAATAAATACTTTATGTACGATAACCTCCACGCACCACCGCTTCCATACTCGAATAGATGAGAGTACAGCGTTTTAGCGTTCTCAACATTCGCTTACTTGCACAATAAGGGTAGTATGTGATAGTCCAGGAGTATAACCTGGCAATTCCTCGCCTGTGACTGGTTTGTTAGTAATAGAGCATGCATATGATTTCTCAGTACTTTTGAGTCTGCTCCATTGTAGGTAACCCGGTGGAAATTTCTTGGAAATGTTCTTGCACTGGACTTTAGCTGACTTTGCCTATTTAATAATTGACACTCTTTAATATCTTTGGGAGCTCTCATAAAGGGAAGTCCCTAGTTAGTGTAGAAAGTGAAAAAAGGTCTTTTATAAAACGAAGAAAGAGGCAAATTAATAAACATGAAAATTTGAATATCATGGCAAACAGTACCTATCAGCAGATTTTTTCAGATAGGAGAAAACGTTTTGGTTTTAAATGTGAAGTAAAGTTTGAAGGCCCGAAACCTAACGAAAATTTCAGGCGATATTCTCATCACCCAAGAGAGTTGTAACCGAAAATAGTCCATCGACAAAAAATCTGCTCGCTTATTTGTGCGATTTTTCCGCCAACAAAAGAAGCCTCCTGACCAAAATGGTAGCTGCTTGTCTATGTTGCGTATTTAGCTGACATCCTTATTCAATTCTTGAAATTTCTGTAATCCAATACTTAATTTTCTGACCATCGTAGACTTGTTGAAATTTGCTTAAAAGCTGTAGCCTAACACAAGTTCAGCGCGTTTTTAATCACATTTTTCATAAACATCCAAAATTTGAGTTCTCATTGTTCGTATCTTACAACCATCTACAACAAAACCACGGCACACTGCATTTTTGTTGTGAAATAGAGAATTGAGTAAATGTTTGCAAGAAAGCACAAATTTTTGAACTGTTTGAAAGACCCAAGTAGGCCTCGGCACGAGGTCTTCAAGAAATTACGATGTCTTTGCAACCTATAGAAACGCGAGAAGCAGTACAAGAACTGCTGCCGTTTATTTATAGCACGTTTTCTTTAAAGGGTAAAACGATTTAGGACCCTAGCGAAGAAGAAGGATTTGCTTTGTTCTGATTATTGCGCTGTAAATTGGGTTAAGGAGTGCACAAAAAGTATTTGATATAAGGAAAGCGGAATTATGAATAACAAAAAAGTGTTTGCTAATCGGCCTGAGGTCCCGTAGGTCTCTGGAGACCTAAATCACAAAAAGGTGCAACGATTTCTTCATTCTCATAATTGTTTAAAGAATTTCAAACAATCTACTCTTTGTTGCGCATCTTTACGCCAATTTTTGTGGCTGTTCACTGACTGTTCTCAAAAAACGGATCTGGACTTAAACTCCTTTGAATATCCCGCGCAAACGCCCGCATTGAAACAAACGTTGAACTTTTGCTGGAGCAGGTTTTTGAACGGTCTTCAATCGTGTATGGAATTAGTTTTAATTAAATATTGAGACAGAAATGCTTAGGCCGCATACATAAACATCCGTGCCAGGAAGGGGGAAGGGAGCTTCAACATTCTTGTTGGTGTGGCCATATTTGAGCATGAACTCCGGGCTCATTCCAGGACCCCATACGATTTCCCCTTCACCTTTCAAAAACGAATTCCAGCTCTTCGGAGCTGCTAAGGTCTGGACCCATACACTTCCACATTGTTTAAAACTATCCGATTAAACCACGCAATATCTTTTCAGACATTGTGCTTGTAGTGGACTGCGACCTAACAATTATCCATGAATTTTTGAAAAGAATGAGGAGACCTACAGTGCAAGTCCGAAAAAGAGACACCCACATAAAGGCAATCACAATTAGTCAAATAAGAAAGATCTCCAAAATATCCCAGAGAGCATTAAATCCACTGCAACTTTTAGGGAAAACTTACAGATGTTTTTGTTTTAACATAACTCTAACCTTTTGAAATGTATCTTAGAAGCACTCCCAGTTGTGGGATTGTCGCTAAGGTTGACGTCAATTTCCTCCTACAAATTCAAAAATTGCAAATATTTCTCACTCTAATTCCTTCCTCTTACCCC